CTATCATCATACCAAATTTCATCAAAATCGTTCCAGTGGTTTTCTCGTGATGCGGTAACAGACAGACAGACAGACAAAAATTCTAAAAACTATAGATTCGGATTCTGTATCGATAATAATGTCTATTTCAATTAGATTTTCCAAAAAATATTTAATGTACAGATTCGACTTAGCTACAATTTTATTATATGTATAGATTATAGCGAAATTATGTACACTTATAAAGACATACATATCTGATTACTTGTTATTGTCTTCTAAATGTATATAAAAGTTTTAACATGTGTGTTGTTAGTGTACCTTCTAAATAAATAAATAAATAAAAAACATAACTAGGGATAAATCCGAGCGGAGCGGAGTCGCTAGTATATTTTTTATGTTAAACCTAATATGTATATTGAAATAAAAATGTCTATAATCGACATAAGTCTAACGAGGGCACGGCCGTAGTCTAAAGTAGCCTGTGAAGTTCCAAAGACCAGAAACTAATCAGAGCGGAACAAACTGTATAATATATAAAAGCATTCGCATTAACTAGTTCGCAATGAGTTGATAAATAAGACCATCATCTTTATCTTAAGTTATCTTCAACTTCTGAATGATTTATTTGATGATTTTTATCAACTATGCTGTACAATTGTGATTAAAGTCTATTCTTTTAATATTATAAATAAGAAAATGTAAAAGTGTGTTTTGTTGGTTCATTCGTTCGTCCGTTCTCTCGTCGTTCGTTCGTTTATTTGTTCTTCTTTCACGTTGAAACAAAGGTCACTCTGTCTGTCGAGATTGGCGTGATTTTTTTGTGGAGATAGTTGGAGAGTGAAAAAGGCTACTTTTTAGTTTTTACCGCAGAGGATTATCTCATTCTCACGGGAAAATACGATATAATTTAATTATTTAATAATATAAAATGCATGATTGTTAATCTTAATTATTGTAATTTTTTTTTGTTTATAATGATGATTTTAATTTTATTCTTATTATTATGTATTATTATCAATTTCTTTTGTATTATGACATTTATCGATAATAATATATTTTTTTAATTTTTGTACTTTTAATTCATGAATATTTAAATGCTATGTACACTTATAATTGACATGCATATAAGGTATATTATTATTACATTAATTAAATTGAAAATGTTTCATATGTATGTTGTAAGTGTGCTTTTTACAAATAAATAAATAAATATAATACAACCCACAACAACTCATCATATCTATGTATCTATATATATTATATAGTCTATCTACTCCATATTAAACTGCCTCGGTGGTGTAGTTGTCAGCATGTACGGCTGCACACTCGGAGGTCCTGGGTTCGAGTCCCGGATCGGGCCAAGTTTAGTTATTGAGTCTCTCTGTATACTAAGTCTCAGTAACAGCCCGGAGTTGGGAAGTTGGCGGTGTTTCACCCCCGTGCCTCGGAGAGCACGTAAAGCCTTCGGTCTTGCGCCTTAACTCTCACCGATCGTGTCGAGCAGTCGTCCCACCGGAATATGAGAGTGCACTTGTGTCTGCGCGTATTTATTTAAATTATAATTTTACTCTAAAAAAAGATAACAAGTTAATAAGTATTAGTCCCGCTGAGTTTCTTTCGCCAGTTCTTCTCAGGTCTGAGGCTTCTTCTTTCCGAACTGGTAGTAGAGTCATGACGTTCAGTAAAAAATTGTAATAATTAAATGCTGCATAAAATATTTTGAATTTACATATGTATAACTAGTGTTCGTGTAGTGGTCAAAATGCCACGATAATCATTATTGAAAAATAAAAATAAAATAATTTGTACGTGAAGTTGATCCGAGCGATGTACAGTCGATGCAGAACACAAGTCCGGTCCACAGCTGGCACCACTACTAGCTTCAATGTGGCTGTAGCTTTACACCAGGGGTCTGCCCTTAGCCCGTACCTCTTCTTGATGGTATTGGACGCCTTAATATCAGACATACAAGAAGAAGCCCCCTGGTGCATGCTGTTCGCCGACGACATTGTGCTAGCGTCCGAGAATAGTCTAGATATTCAGAACAGATTGGAGGAATGGCGACAAAGACTGGAGAGTGTTGGCTTGAGAGTCAGCAGAAGTAAAACAGAATACTTTTTCTGCGACGTTGGTGATCTATCCAGTCTAGTGCCCGTAACCCTTTCGGGAACACCCTTACCAATATGCACTGACTTTCAGTATCTTGGATCTCTTGTACAAGGTAATGGTAATATTGACCGAGACATTACGCGTCAGATCCACTCTGGGTGGATGAAATGGCGACAGGTCACAGCGACAACTTGCGATAAGCGGACGCCCCGTAAGTGGAAGGGTAAGATCTATAAATCCGTAGTAAGACCTGTCGTTATGTATGGATCGCAATGCTGGGCTACAAAGAAGACTGATGAAAGAAGATTGCATGCTGCAGAGATGAGAATGTTAAGGTGGATGTGTGGAGTGACGAGGATGGATAAAATAAGGAATGAGTACATATGAGGAAGCTTAAAATTAGCACCAGTGACAGAGAAGTTGAAAGGGAATCGTCTTAGTTTGTATGGGCATGTGAAGCGGAGGGATGAAACGCATGTGACGGGAAGAGTGATGGAAATGAATGTAGATAGATGGAAAGGTAGAGGAAGACCGAAGAAAAGATGGATAGATTGTGTGAGACAAGATATGAAAGAGAAAGGGATCAATGATGAGATGATGAGTAATAGGGGAGAATGGAAGAGGAAGACTTACTGCGCCAACCTCAAGTGACTTGGAAAATGGGCAGGAAGAAGAAGAAGATGTGTAGTGTATCTGGTATCCATAGCACAAGCCTCGTAACTTACCAGGGAACTGGATGGAACTGTGGTAGTGTCAACATATATTTATATTTAATTACTCTTTTATCTTTACTTTCTTTGTATATAAAAAAATTTACTGTTTCCAAAAAATGCATAAAAGCATTAAAGCTCGTCAATAGCTACATAAAAAAAAGAATTTCGTTTGCCAAACAGAGGAGAAAAAGGTACTAAACTGATTTGTTTTCGCCTATTTGTATAATACTAGCGACTCACCCTCGCTTCGCTCGGGTTCGTTCCTAGGCGTTTTGACAGTTAGTATGGAAGAGTATAGACTATATATACGTGGGTATGATGAGTTATTGTGAGTTGTATTATAAGTGTTTTTCCGTGGTAATGAGATAACCTCCCGCGGTAAAAAGTATAGCCTATGTTACTCTCCAGCCCTCCAACTATCTCCTCACAAAAAATCACGTCAATCTGTCACTCTATTTCATCGTGAAAGAAGGAAAAACAAGCAAATAAACACATTTTCATATTTATAATATTACTAGCGACCCACCCTCGTTTTGCTCGGGTTCGTCCCTAGATTGATTCCCCATACAAACTTTTATCCCCATTTTCATCCCCTTAAGGGATGATTTCTGGGATAAAATGTATGTCCTATGTCCTTCCCAGGGTCTCAAACTATCTTCTTACCAAATTACATACAAATCGGTTCAGTAGATCCAGAGATTACCCCCTACGTCACAAACCCACAAACTATCAATCACACAAACTCACAAATTCATAAAACCTCTTTATAATATGGATAGTATGGAATTATGGAAGTATAGATGGATTTATGTATAGACGTCCTGGTGTAGTTTTCGAGGTATTCTAGACTGCTCTCGTTAGTCTAGTGGCTAGTACGTGGATCGTGACGTAACGGGTAACGCGTGACGTGACATGACGGGTTGATTCTCGGGTTGCGCAAAACAGTTTAGCAGATCGGAGAGCATATTACGATATATGCCCTGTGTCTAATATCTCACCGGTCGTATCTAATTGTTGTCCCACCGAAATATGAATCAGTCAGCGAAAATTACTTTTATAAGCACATACGTAATTTTTGGTGAAACCGTTCATCGGTAACATTCAGATGGAAAATCGAAGAGTTATAACGCGAAACTTAAAAGCGAAATATGGAACACATACTGTGTTTTTTTACGTAAGAAGTCCTAATAAAGTAATAAATAAATATATCTATAAATGGCTTTTAAATGTATATGATTACACGTTTCATATAATTATAATTACTGTGAGCGTAATAGATGTTAAGAGTTCAAGCTCATTTTTATAACTAGTAGGATAAATAAATGATTATACGCACGATATGTAAATTGGAACGACATATTTTAAATAGTATATATATATATATATATATATATATATATATATATATATATATATATATATATATATATATATATATATATATATCTTTATGGACAGAATGTAGTAAAACTAACTTGCGTCTATAGATAGGTGAAGAGAAGATTTACCCGGGAAGATAAAGAATAGGATAAAAAACCGACCAAGTACGAGTCGAACTCGCTCACGAAGGGTGCCGTACCATCTATACATATAATAAAATTGTAACTAAGCCGAATCTGTACATTATATTTTATGGAAAATCTTATTGAAATAAACACTATTATCGATTACAGAGGCCAAATGTATAGTTTTTAGAATTTCTGTCTGCCTGTTACCGCATCGCAGAAAAACCACTGGAGGGATTTTGATGAAATTTGGTATGGTGATAGCTGGTTATCCGAGTATATACACATGCGATACTTTTTACCGCGAGAAAATGTCTCATTTCTGAGAAAAAATACAAAAACTACTACATTGTAAGAGTATAATAACATGTAAAACCTAAGAATTTGGGTTTTGGTCATCTGAACGCGGGCGGAGCCGCGGGCAATGCTAGTTATCTATAAAACCGGCAAAAAATCATGTTTGTAATATATATATTAATAATAAGTTATATTAAGCTTTTATTGTTTTAATTAATATGTAATAATCTATTACAGATTGTTCAATTCCTGAAATATGTTAATAGATATCAATATTTTATATTTTTGTTGGGGGCTATTTTGGTAGATGTTACAGCGTTAGTTTTCAAGCGAAAAGCGAATGAAGGCGTCGCCATTTATAATCCCATTCTTTATATGCACAATTTTTATTTACCTCGATAAAGTACAAGAGATCTGAATGGCTTCTGCTATGTAAATAATATGATGCCAAACAATACACGCCACCGGGCTGCATACACGCTTGATAATTGTCCATCGCAAATAATTCAGGCATTTTGTAGTACTCGCTCTCTGAAACATAAGTTTGGTATTTTCAATTATTAATTTTCCTTCTCTTATTTCTCGTTTTGACGACACGTTTGGCTCAGTTTGTAGTGAATCTGCTTGCTGTGCAAACTGTCGCGGGTTCGAATCCCGCTGGTTCATTCATTTGTGTGATGAGCACGAATGTTTGTACTCCAGTCATAAGTAATACTTACTTAGATTTATCATATAAATACAAATCTTAAAACTATATTTCGTTAAAGTAAAATGTCTAATAGTAACTAATCTCGATGTGTTAAGGAAAAAAAAAACATAAAAGCCATATATGTATGTATGTAAATACACTACATTTTTTTATGTTTTTAAGTATAAATATAATAGTAAAAAACATGTCGCCAAAATTAAAACGAGGTTATTTAAATTCTGTCCAGTAGTCAAATAGCCTTCTTATAGGCTTCATTATTTTCCTCATCGTCCATTGTTTGTTGATAATAAACCGTTTTTCTTAAAATGTATAAAAGAATTACACTGCAAAATCAAAAATAACTGTCCGGTTGGTCAAGCGGTCCAGTAAGTACTCTACCTTTATGTCAGGTCAAGTATATTTCGAAATTTAGTTTTTCTGTAAAAAAAAAATCAATAACAACCTGGAGTTGAAGTTTGCTTCAAGATCTTTAGAAATTATAAGGACAGATAGGATCTCTAAAGCTAAATAGTACACTAAAGTTTAGTGGTAAGAGCAAGATACTAGCATATTATATAAAAGTATCGAGTAAGCTATGTCCGTATTATTATTATATTATTTATTGTAAATGTGAAGTTTGTGAGTATGTATGGATGTTTGTTACTCTTTCACGCCAGAATGGCTCAAGGGATCTGGATGAAATTAGGCACAGAGATAGATTATAGTCTGGAATAACACATAGGCTACTTTTTATCCCGGAAAAATATACAGTTCCCGAGGGATAGATTTGTTTTTGTTTTTCTAGTTATTAGTTATTTATAAATATATTAAACTGGTAATTGACCGTAAAATAGAACTTACATCAGGTCAGATAAACAGTAATAAAAATCCAATACAAAAAAATAAATTAGAAATCGTGAACTTTTATCTACAGCTGATGTTTAGAATTCATTCAGTAAGTTGGGATTTAACTTAGAGACAACAGAATATACATATTTAGGTTCGATAACATCGTTTTTTTTAAAAAAACTTAACCTATCTACTTACTTAGGTACCCGAATAAGAGTGTAAACCAAAACCATGGTTTTGGGGAAACCAAAAACCAAAATTAATACAAAAATATAATTTTATTTAAAGAGTGTAAAATCTAAAATAATTATACTAATGATGATGCGACGTGATTATGAGACGCCTCAACGCTTGAACGGTCGCGGATACGCATGTCGGTTAACAATTGATTTCCCGGAAATTCACCACGGAGGCGAGACAGTGGTGTTTGTTGGGTTTTGTCGGCAGTACTAGCTTTTCTAGATATTGAAACTCACATAACTACCTGTATGTATTTAGTTGGTATGCATAAATACATTACCCAATATAGAAAAAATATACATACAACAGTCTACAGCTTACTATAAAGTTGCATCATGGACATTCGTATGACGGAATGACTGTAGAGATTCGTTGATATAGTAAAAAATACTTGGGCTGATTTTCGTTAACCGTCACTTTAACTCATGGACACAACTTACTATAAAACGTGAATGTTCTTTAATGTTCTTTTTACCCGACTGCGGGACGCAAAGGGGGGTAATGTGTTTATCAGTCTACGAGTATGTATGTATATGTATGTTTATTCTTATATGGCATTCTAGAAGCCCAACGCGTGGGCCGATTTTGATTATTCATACGTAGTTAGATGCGCCTTGATAACGCGAGTGACGACTATATAAAAATAGTTCAAAATTAAATGGCAGATATCAGGCGCCAATTTGTGTCTGTAAAAAAAATCTTCCAAATCAATTGAGTGGGATATCAAAATAAAGGTTTTTAAAAGGTGATCACAAAAATATATACAACTTATATGTTTAAAAGTAATTTGGGATAAAAAATTTCTAAATATGACTTAAATTTGCAAATTTTTTAAATTGCCAAAATCTAAAAAGCTGTAAATGAAAAAATATATTATAAAAAAAACGACTGCATAAAAGCTAACTAAAAAGATGAAATCAAGTTGACGAAGGAATACGTACAGTATTATTTATGCAGTCGGAAACATACACATGTACGAGTACATCTCGCGGCAAGGATGAAATCTGTCCCCGACTGCATAATACTATATTCCTTCGTCAACTTGTTTTCATTTTTTGCAGTCGGTTTTTTAATTTTTATAATATACTAGCGACTAACCCTCGCTTTGCTCGGGTTCGTCCCTAGATACCTTATGATGATTGGTTCTCCATACAAAGCCACCGACCTTTTCACCCCCTTAAGGGATTTTTGGGGTAAAAACTATGTCCTTCCCAGGGTCTCCAACTATCTCCATACCAATTTTCGTCTAAATCGGTTCTGCGGCTTAAAAGTATGTAAAGGTAACAGACAGACAGTTACTTTGGCATTTATGTATTAGTATGGATTTTTTTCTTATGAGTATATATCTCAATATATACCCTAACACGAGTCGAGCCTAATTTCCTTAAACCGTATACTTGAACTGTAGTTCATTGTCGCACTGTCCGCTGCATATGAATAAAATAAAAAAATGGTCGTAAACACAATTTACTTTGATTTTTGCTATTATGCCTATATTTATAACGAGTGGCTATGTTTGTTTAAAAATTATATTTAATTTATTTGTTTTATAACAAATATATTTATCTAAACTGGAAGAAATTATAAAATATCCGTCATATTAACTTAACCTTAATGTCTAAATGGGTGGACCTAAGAATTTGAAATACCCAAATGAAAGATTTGATTGAATGCATTAACACATAATCGATGGAATTAGCAAGGGGTTTCATAATTTAGAACTAGGCTAGATAAATTTGGTTACTTAAGAAATAATATATACATATATTATAGGTATAACTAGCGAATCGCTCTCACTTCACCCGGGTTCGTCACTAGGAGATTCTTTAAATTGACATAACTTTTTTATTTATGAACCGATTCAAATAAAACAAATACTATATGTTAACATTAGCGAAAACCGCACCCAAATCAAATAAGCCGTTTCTGAGATTAACGCGCACAAACGCACACACAACACACACAAAAATTCTAAAAATCATTGTGTTGGGTTCAATTGTGTTAATAAAGACTCCCAATAGTAAATTTTCTCAAATATATTTCACGTAAAGACAGCGATCATTTAAAATTTTATTATATGTACTTTAAAATAATAGTTCTATATTTTATCAATGTACACTAGACAGATTATTTAAACGAGAATATGTTATTTTTTAGAATTTCGTTTTTTGCACTCCATTGAACAAATTCATCATATTAATAGAAAATATACTCGCGAATATACATGCATACTATAAATATACACGCAAATGAAATTTTTTATTAGTTAGAAAATTGTAACTTACCATTTGCTTTATAAATAATACCCCAACTTTCTTTCAAAATGAAAAAAACTGTAATAAATATAACTTTAAACATTGTTAATTTAAAAAAATAAACTAAAACACAAACGGGTATACACGTCCTGCTCTGTAAACAAGCATATCAGACATAAGTAAGTTGATAGTAACTTATACCATAGTGTTATCCTTATGCTGCTCTAGTGAGATCTTAACACTAGGGTAAGCATGTTTTATTGTATACTGTCCTAAATAACATGTAAATATTTTTATATACTCACCCTCGTATCGTTAACTCGGGTTCGTTCCTAGTTACGTTTTAATGTTTAGTATAGATTTCTCAGAAATTATTTTTTTTCCCGCAGTAAAAAGTATCCTATATGTTGACCCGGATAACCAGCTATCATCATACCAAATTTCATTTAAATCTGTCCAGTAATTTTCTCGAGATGCATTCCCTGACAGACAGACAGACAAAAATTCTAAAAACTATAGATTCGGCCTATCGATAATAATGTCTATTTCAATAAGATTTTTCAAAAAATATTCAATGTACAGATTCGATTTAGTTAGAATTTAATTATATGTATAGATATAGTTGTCCTTTTTTTTTGGTCCAAAATCCTAGAATGTCCAGACCTACGTAATTATTAACACTTTAAAGACTTATAATGTATGCATACTATTTGAAATTTGGCCGATAGCAGCTAACTTAAGAAAGGTCCTGATTTGCGGGTATCTGATACCAAAAAAACATACAAAAATCTTTTTTCCAAAAATCTTAACTGCCGCCAGACACTTTAAAGTTCGTTTAAAAATATGGTAAACTACGCCACTGCGTGACCATTTAAAATCTTTGGGAAGGTCCTAGTAAGAACTTTTTATAACTAGTTTAGATGATACCGTTAAAAACTTTTTTAATAATGTAAATAACGATAGTGATGTAACTTAGCTCTGGCTTTGGAGTCTTACTTTAAATTGCTACATTCTCATTGTCTGCAAAGCAAAATGAAATATCAACAAGACCGAAGTGAATGAACAATGAACAGTTAGGATCGGTACAATTTTTATAACGCTTAAGAAAAGAGAAAGCATTGTCGCCATTGACAATCAAACGGACGGTTTTATTAAAATACAACATTTTTTTAATATGGTTACCCTACTATTATTGTTATATGAGTCAATTGCGTGTGTCAGATCAAAATCAACTGGTCAAGTCCAGGTAATAAAATAGTTCTATAAGGTATAGCTTTCAGGGATTTTAAATTTGCTATATCATTATGATATATATTTAGTATATAAAAATTTAAAAAATATTAAAACCGACTTCTAAACTAAAATGTAAAAAATAACTGAACGGGGTTTTTTATCTACTTTAGATACTTAATCAGATATTTAGAAGTCGGTTCCAGCCGACAATTCTTTGAGATATTAATATCTAATAGGTAAATATGACAAGGTATGAACTCCAATCTATACTTATAATAAATCTGTAGAGAGGTCAATTCTGTACATGAAATATATTTCCAAAATATCTATCAGGGGGTGATTAGGGATCGATACCGATGCCAAAAATGCAATCAGTAAAATTTTTGTCTGTCTGTCTGTCTGTATAACCGTTATAGAAACAAAAACTACTCGACGGATTTTAACGAAACTTGGTACAATTATTTTTCATACTCCTGAGCTGGTTATAGTATACTTTTCATCACGCTACAATCAATAGGAGCAGAGCAGTGAAGGGAAATGTTGGGAAAACGGGAGAAGTTACTCCATTTTTTAAGCTTCCGTCGCGTGTGCAACCTTAATGGTTAAAGCTACACAGAAATCATGTATGACGGAAATGTTCTCCTTAAAATTATATAAAAAATATCCCACGACAGCATATGTCTATCTTTTATGGTTGACTCACAATAACACGTGTAACTGCCGATAGCTTAGCAGTTCGAAGCTTTCTGATTTATATTTGTCTACTCTTACGTTTATAACACTCTCAGTCATCCCTAATTAAAAAAGTTAACATTATAAACTATTCCATAAAAAAGAATCATAGAAATCGGTATAGAAACACCAAAGTTATACATGAAATACGCTAATAATAAGCCATCGCGAGTCAGGGGGATGTTAGAAGACAAATAGAACAAATCCAGATTTTTTTCAATTTTTTTGTTTCTCTGTCTGTTTGTCTGTTTATACGGGCTAATCTCCGAATCTATTTGACCGATTTAAATGAAATTTTGCATGGTGGTACCTTATATCCCCGGACAACGTCTTAGATATTTTTTATCCCGGAAAATTAAATGGTTCCCGTGGGATAGTTAAAAAAATATTATAACTTATACAATTTATGCACCTAATTTAGTAAAATTTAACATTCTGATACTTTATATTACCGGTCCAACAACAGGTTACTTTTCATCCGGGAAAAATGAACGGTTCCCGTGGGAACTAATAGATTTCTATTAGTGTTTTTCTAGAGGCGAACCCGAGCGAAGCGAGGGTGAGCCGCTAGTTATTATATATAGTTAAAATACTATACGAGTACCAACATCAATTACTGATGGATTTATACATATCAAAATAGACTTTACTGTGCATCGGCTGGCATCGACTTCGAAAATATCTGATTAGGTATCTATAGTAAACGAAAACCGCCATTCAGTTATTTTTTACTTTTTAGTGCCTGGAAGTCGGATTTTTTTAAATTTTGACATATTTTTCCATTTTTAGTGTAGACGTAATAAACGCAGGTAATTTGTAAGAAGAAAGTTTTTAATAACGTATTCAATTAAGCCATTTATATTATATACAGTAAATAATTAATGTATACAGCTAATTTTTACATAAATACTAACATACTATAAAAAAACTCAGTATTCTTAATAACACTAAAAATCAGCTTATCACATGAAACCAAAGAAGCACAAACTCAAAGTATTTACTAGGAGCCGTTGAAGAGTTCTACTAACCATCTTCTGATCTCACCATCAGATCATCTCCAAGATACCAAATTACTATACCTACTATCATCGGAATTACAAACACTAATTATAAAAGTCGATATGACAAATAGAAGTAGGTAAAAAAGACTAATTAAATCTGTTAATATACGAGTATTTACTTGAAACTTCATGGATTTTCCTGATTTTCTTGAAAACGGGTTTGTCGGTAATTTTCTATACGAGTATGTCGAAGACAATTTCCTCAGGACCTACCTTAATACAAAACCGTTTAAAGCTGTGGTGGGCAAACTTTTTTAATAGGGGGCCACAAAGTTATTGAGGAGATATTGAGGGGCTAGCGAGTAGACTCAGCTCTGCAGCGTTCGCGGTAAAAAAAATAAGACTTAATACTGACGTAGATACAGCTCGCATAGTATATTTTAGTTATTTTCATAGTAATATGTCCTATTATATATAGCTGCTATTAATACGATTTTTGTCCTGCAGAAAAGAGCTATTCGTGCAATTTATAGTCTAGGTCCTAGAGTGTCATTAAGAGATAAGTTTAAAGAAATAAAAATATTGACTGTTGCTTCTCAGTACGTGTACGAAAATGTTATGTATGTTCGTAAAAATATACACGAATTTCCCAAGAAGTGTGACGTGCATAACATTAAGGACTAACTAGGAGCAAACACAAACTTGTAATGCCTGTGACTCGTCTACACAGAGTTAGAAATTCTTTTTATGGACAATGTATACGCTTGGACAACAGGATCCCAGAAAATGTTCAAAAGGCTTCTATCGCCAAATTTAAAAAAAATGTCGAAGAACGTTTGTGTGCTAAAGGCTATTGTACAATAAATGATTTTATAGAAGATGGCACACCTTGGGAATGAAATTATCGCCTCTAGGCTACTTAAACTTGATAGAAATATTGTAAATTATAATTTTACTGTACAAAAAAGATAACAGGGTAAATTAGTCCCGCTGAGTTTCTTTCGCCAGTTCTTCTCAGGTCTGAGGAGTCTTCTTTCCGAACTGGTAGTAGACTCATGACGTTCAGTAAAAAATTGTAATAATTTAATGCTGAACAAAACACTTTGAAGTTAAATTTTTTGAATTTTGAGTTTAAGAAATTCTAGAAGAGGGCCAGAATTATAGAAAAAATGCATATAGTGTTAAAGCTTTCTAGGGGTAACGGAACTGTCTAGGGATCTCGTATTATATTATATATATTATGTATTATTATTTTTGGATATTTGGTGGGTATGAGAATAAGTCTTAAAGTATTTTTCACCGTCCTACGGCATTGAGGATGTTTAAATATCGAATGTTATTGCAGAATTTATTTCCAGTCTCCTTATACAAATTAATGGCAAAAATGTAAAACGAAAAGTTATCAAGTTAGCGTTATAATAAGCCATTAGTATTTGCCCGCGGCACCGTTCGCGTGATAGGTACGACGAAAAAAAGAAAAGAAAAAGAAAATATATGATATACATATATGTATTATGTATGTATGTAAATCCAGGACATAAGCTATTGCAAATTACTCTGAAACACGTTATTGCTACAGCGTAAAGAAATAAAAATAAACCTCACAAATTTTCGCTTTGCTTTCACAAATTTTGATAAAATATTCTTATCCTTGCCCTTGTCTCACAGTACTTGGGGTCGGCACAAAATGTTTCCTTCTTCCAGTTCCCTTTATCAGCCATCATTCTAGTACTCCTACCTACTATCTTATACACAATCCTATTTCACACCCTCCTACATATCTTGCTTGGTATGCCCATACTTTTGTAAAAATCTAAATGACAGCGAAAGGCTCAGCCAGCCCCCATATTTTTTTTTATTTCTATTTTGCGGCTATAACGTGTCACTGTGACCATTTCTGGTCTATTGTGATCGCCGCAGCCAGCCCTCATAACAAAATATTCAAAGATATTATGAGACAAACATTTATATAGTTAAAGTACAAATTATAATAATAAATCAATGCAAAAAATCTCATTCAGCTCTTTTTAACGTCCCGGTTTCCATTGATGGACACGGGCCTCCCTTCAATGTGAGGCAATCAGGCAATAGTCTACCACGCTGGTCTTCGAACATCACGGACTTCACGTGTCTACAG